GTGAACGAATCGGTTGAGTTTGAGTATTGTTAAGTTTGACTCGATTCAAAAAGTTCAAACCAAACTCGACTCAATAACTCGCGAGTTTAAAATTGTCAAGATCAATTTGAATTTGAAATAAAAAATTAAAACTCGCTTAAAATGTATAGTTAGAATTAGATTTGAGTTTGTAACGTTAGACATCTGAATTGACCGAAAAAAATTTAGACACCTAAATGGATATAAATGTATAGTTTGGACAATATTTTTGTATTAAGCCTATTAATAATTTAATATTTTTTTCTTTGAGTTGTTATGATTTTTGAGTTAAACATCAAAGAAGTGTCGAATCTAGTTCTAACTTAAATTGAATGGCCCTAATGATAGAGACAACACCAGCACAGCTAAGGTAAGGTTGTCTGGTCAGAAATGATGTGTTTTCTCACATGGCTGTAAGATTTTCATTTCTTTCTCTTTGGCTGTACAGTCATGTGAAATAACAGTACAATCCCTGCCAGCTTGTAATTTTGCAGGTAAAAAATAAACAAGGTTTGAAACCCAGACCAAACGAAGGAGACAAGAGAAATGAAACCCCAGAAAGTTATTTTTTCAGGAATCATAAACTTGTTGAGCAAAGAGTAAACTTACATGTCATCCATGAATTTAGCAGAAACCAAAACACTGGTGATAAGCAATCTATGTACGTTGTAGAATTGATAGCAAAGACCGCTTCATCTGCACGAACCGATCGAGATAAACATAGGCAACCACGAAACACGAGGAGCTACAATTGGCGTACTTAAAGATCCCTCTCCAGATAGCTTCTGATTGAAATAGTAGGCCTCGTGAGGCATGAAACACCGACACCTTCTGCGACGGCTGAAACAGCCGGCAATCACATTAGACTCCGCCACTCTTTGCAACAAAGAGACAAGAAAACTTATGATTCTGGGAACAGTTTCAAGGCCGAGCTGGGTCTCGGTTCCGCCATTGTTTGTCTGTTGAGTTTGGTTAGCTTAGCTGTGTCTTATAAGACACGGCTTTGGTGTAGGTTGGTGTTTTGGCTTGGTTTCACAGCTGTTCCAGGCCATCTACGCTTAAATAGGAGCACATTTATCATTCAAACTTGGGGTCCATAATGAGTCGGAACTAATTTACATGTTTGTCTTCCGTTTTCCATTCTCCATGTAATGCTTATAAGGTCAAATTTGTCATTATATCATGAATAGAGTTTTGTTATTTGTTCATGTTGGATTTTGTTCCCATAATTAGATATTCTAAAATTTTAATTTCTTAACCACCGATATTGTCTTCCCATTCCTTGAAACAAAAATTAATATAATCAAATACGTAATTAAGAGGAAGTAGAACACAAGTAAAAGATTGTTAATTAAGCACGCAAAGTCAGTAATGCAACAAGTCAAACTAGTGATTGGAGATGGGAAACATACACTCCATTGGCAAGGGGCAGTGCTGCAATTTCACCAATACCGTATCATGATTTCTAAGAAATTCTTTGATCAATTAATTTATTTATATACAAGCTGTACACGTGCCGTTAACGTCACACCAATTTTATTTATAAAAAAGATTGAGAACTTGTAAGAATTAGGACAGGACAGTACCTACGGTGAACACAGCACCACTTACAGCCTGTGCTTCATTCATGCGTTACGCGTTGGTTGTATTACGGTGCTTGCATGTTCTCTTTCTTTAAATTATTCGTGAGAATTTAATTAACCGAATCAAGTCGAATTAATTTTTTTTAAGTTAGTTGAATTTATGAGATCTATTTAATGACTTTATTTTAAATTCTTTTGAGTTTAGTTTATAAAATTTGGATCAAATCGAGTTTTAAGAGTAGTCTAAATTAACGACTTTCTCTAATTATACAAGATATAAATATAGATTTCTTCATATTTTTTTATTGTAATGTTATTTAACAAATCAAATGTAATCTAAATTATAAAATGTATTTATAGTTTTATTTTTTAAAAGGATATATTTTAGGAGAAAAGTATGACGAAATAAAGGAATCAAAGAATTGATTGGGAATAAATAATTTAAAACAAGTACAACAAAAAAACTAACTTAAATAAAATAAAAATTGAAAGACTAATTGTAAAAGAGTGAATTAATTGTTAAAAAATAAGAAAAGTTATATAGATATTCTATAGTGTTATAAAAGATTAAATTTGGTCAAAAATGAATTTAAAATGACATAAAAATTAAGGATGAGCATTCAAGTTAAAAAAAATCGAGTTAATCAAATGACAAGTAGTATATCATTCAAATTTAAAAAGACAAACAAAAAAAACATAGACACTGGTCCGGGAGCTGTAAGGAATTACAAATCCATATGTTGAGCGTACATAAATAAGCAGACATTCATTCCATCAGACAAGGGTTACAAAAGTAAGGTTGTAAATGAGACGAGACAGATCGCGAGCTACTCAATATCGACTCGGTCAAGACTCGATAAATACTTCGATTGAATGGACTCAACTCAGACTCGAGCTCGACTCGAATTCTTAACAAACCAAACGAGCTATTTGATACTCGACTCGAAAGCTCGTGAGCAGCTCGAAAATAATATATTAAGATTTTTTAAAAATTATTAATAATATTAACATTTATGTGTTATTTTTTAAAAAAAATACATAAGACTTTCATATATTTAAGATTCAAGTTCAAATTTGAGGTTTTAATCTAATTAAGTTTAAGATTTTTTTTTTAATTTCGAGCTGCTCACGAGCTTCAATTCAGGATTTCGAGTTCAAACTTAAAATTTTAAGCTCGCGAGTTTTCGAATCAAGTCGAGTTGCATTTCAAAGTTTTCGAGTCGAGTCGAGTCGAGCTCAACGATACTCGAGCTCGACTCGGCTCGTTTACACCCCTAACCAAAGTATTATCACATGACAGGCAAAAGCAGACGCCTAAAAACAATCATAAACTCAGAAATCCATATATAACAGAGGCAACTTAGCCGTAGCATCGGATAGGATCGTTGCAACCTTTCTCTGTAGATTGTTTAAAACCGAAACGACAGCCTTCCGCGAGGTACTGTTGGTGATATTTCTCTGCTCGATAGAACTTCTTCGCTGGCAGAATCTCTGTAACAATCTTTCGGTTCAAGGCTTTCTGGTGACCGCAGTCTCCTGCTCCGAAGTGTAATAGTATATACTGGATCTGTATTGTGTCCCGACATCATTCCCCCTTGCAAATCAGATAAGGCATCCTAACAAAGCTTGGTATTCAACATCTGGAATTCCAAGGTGCTCGCCATCAATATCAATTAGCTTCAACTCAAAAACCGCTATCTATCTTGTTTTGGGTTCTCGAACATGAAAGTAACAGTCCCCATTGAGAGGTTCCTATCGCAGCGATAGTGCTCGAACCCTTCCGATCTGAGCAACAGAGCCACCACCAACGCCACTTGGCTCGAACCCATCGCCTGTAACGAGAATCCATGCCGAACAGTCGAAGTTCACATCCCCCCACTCTGCACTTCTCTTTCCCTAATGCCTCGATCATCTTCGCCCCTAAATCATAAATTGTATCCATACCGTCGTTTAAGAGTCAATTTCCCAGTTTTGAAGCCGCCCCAGAAACTGCCCGGACCGTCTATTGGATTTCAAAAACTTCGCCTTCGATCATTCGATTTCTTCCTGACTCTTACGCCGATGGACTTTCGAAACGCTTGCATTAGAGCTTGTTTTCAACATTTCCAGAGAGAAGATTTCACTTGCCATAGAGCACAGAGAAAGGGGTTTCAAGGCCAAGGAACTTTGTGATGCCCATGGCGATGGCAGTTTTGCCAGTTCCAGGTTGGCAGTTTAGGAGCGTGAAACCAAAATTCCCAGGACTTTGGCGAAAGATACCATGTTGAGTATTGCAGAAAACAAAGCTTGAATCAAACAGAATATCAGAAGTATTTTCATTAAGCTTGCATTATACATCACCTAAGCTAATTACTTATAGTAAATTCATAACAAACTTTAACAAACTAACAACTTCTAGAATAGTTTCCTAACAGACTTGACAGGTATGCAAGCTATATCCATCAGCTACAATCCTGCTCCCATGTATGACATTACACAAGCACTCTTCATTCACGTGAGCTTACATCATTCACTCAACATGGCGAGCCCAAAAGACATCAAGCAAAGTGTCAGAGCTGCACTCTTTAGGGTCATACTGAAGCCTCACGACTTCATTATGGTTCGTCGTCCCAAAACAGACGTCCTTATAACTCGGATTATCCATGAACCCTTGGGTACACCCGACCTCCTTTTTGGTCATACCCGGAACCCTCTGGAACGCCAATTCACGCCCCAAAAACACCCCGCACCGAACTGAGCATACTGATGTCCAGGAGCAGGGACATCGTCGTCTGGGACTTGGGAGAACAACAATGGTAATGGTGACAATAATTTCACAAAAGTTAGTGGACAAAAATTTTTTTATAACTTAAATTTTATTTAAAAAAATTTCGAGTTTATAAAATTCGAATAAAATTATTTGAATTCTTTTTGAACTTAACCGTAATATTTATAATTTATGATACTATTTAATTATAATTTAAACTGTTTTCTGTAATCATATACAACAACATATATATTTTCATATGTGATATATATGTTATGCGGCGTTGAAAGACTCAACTTGAATTTAAAAATCAACTCATTAATTATTAAAAATTTTGAGTTAGTTGAACTCTGTTTTATAACTTGATTTGAATTTAAATATTTCCGAGTTAAATTTAAAAAATAACTAGTCAAGTTAAATCAAATCAAATTATTTAGCTTTAAAATAATTTAGAAAACCAATTTTTTAAAATCAAATTATAGTGATGCAATTGGTTTATGGGGTCAAAAGAGGCTAATGCAGTAACAAGATGGGGTTGAAGAAGGCTTTAGGGCTGCAAGGAGGTCATATAACCACTAATACCAGATTGTAAGAATCAGTAAACAATGAGTCTGAATTACCAATAAAAATGCAAACTTATCGGTAACAATATACTTCAGTTTTAGAAAAGAACAACTCTTCACTTCCTTGTCTCTGTCACAACTCCGCCACTCGGACTGGCCCGATACTCGGTCGAGCCAATTAACAGCCATGAATCCTGAATAGTAACCCTCCATTATCACTTCTTTCTTCCATAAATCTTGTAAATTTATTTGTGCAGTGACTATTTGTTCAAGCTTCTGCTCATCGGAGATTCTGGAGTTGGTAAATCGTGTCTTCTCCTCAGATTTGCTGTAAGAATTCCATTGTAAAAATTAAAATGTTAACAGTAAACCAGTTTTGTCTAGGCCTTGCGCTTTAATTTCGTCACTCCAATGCAGGATGATTCGTATCTGGACAGCTACATAAGCACAATCGGCGTCGATTTTGTGAGCCATCTCTAGCTTTAAACCAAACTGCACCGTTCATTTTCAGGAAACTCAATTATCTTCTCCTTTTCTCTTTTAATTCCTACAGAAAATACGCACCGTGGAGCACGATGGCAAGATTATAAAACTTCAAATCGTAACCATCTTTCAATTCTTTTCCTTATATTCCAAGGATCATGCTCTTATACCTACATTCCAATGCCATTAATACGCCCCCCCACCTCGAAACATGCAGTGGGATACTGCAGGGCAAGAGCGGTTCCGGACGATCACTAGCAGCTATTACCGTGGGGCACATGGCATTATAGTAAGTTCTCTTTCGACGTTTTTAGGTTCGATATTTTTCTATGTATGTGTTCTATACGGGTATATTTGTTCATGTCCGATATCTGGCAGATAGTTTATGATGTAACTGACCAAGAGAGCTTCAACAATGTTAAGCAATGGCTGAATGAAATTGGTCGTTACGCAAGTGAGAATGTGAACAAGCTTCTGGTCGGGAACAAGTGTGACCTTACTTCCAGAAAAGTCGTTTCCTATGAAGCAGCCGAGGTGAAAAAAAGGGTTCAACTTCATGAAATAATTGAAGTGAGAAAAATAGAAATAAAACAATCATCCAAATTGATGGTTTTCTGTTTAATAGGCGTTTGCAGATGAACTTGGCATTCCATTTATGGAGACTAGTGCAAAAACTGCTACTAATGTCGAGCAAGCTTTTATGGCAATGGCAGCTGATATTAAGAACAGGTATGAATGAATCAATCGAATTAAACTCCGGGATTTGATAACAATTACTATCTTTTCTACGTTTTCTGCAGGATGGCAAGCCAGCCGGCGTCGAGTGCAGCAAGGCCGCCAATGGTGCAGATAAAAGGACAACCTATTAACCAAAATAGTGGCGGATGCTGCTCTTAGTTGATCTTAGCTATTGCCTGCTGTTATTATTGATGATTGTGTTAGATTAGCTTTCTGAATTTTGCTCTCAAGAGATGAAACCTATGGTACCATGTAGAATCACAGTATTCAGTTCGTCTTTTTTTTTTTTTTGGTTTTAATTTTCTATTGTTTGTTATGAATTTCAGAACTTTTAATTATTTAACAGTTTATTATTATGGCCTGTAATTCCATGGAAGAGTAGGCACAGAAACACTTGCTTGCTTCGGATCATATATTAGTCAATGTGTCTGAAACCATTGTTGAACGAAGCAGGTCATGCTCCAAACATATTGTCCGGAACCAACATTGGCGAAGGGTGATCAGGTGGTGTATCGATGGCTAGCGAGCCCGTGTAATTCATCGGAACTGGCGGAGACTGCATCATATTAGGAGTTACTTCTGCCTGTTAAAACATCAGTGAGGTTATCTATCTGTGGTAATCTGACACATCTAGAGGGAGAAAATGAAATGCAGATGGTTTCTTACCATGGATTGAATCGTTTGATTATTAGTTGGCAAAATAGGAAGTTTAATCATCGACACAGATACGATCGGACGAACATCGGAGCAAATTTTCGGAAATCGGTTCACAGGCTGAGATGAATTTCTTGATTAGTTCTGAGGTTGAACCCCAGGGGCATTCATACAGTGAATTTAAAACCAAGTCATCAACGTGAACAAATTTAAACTAACACATACATTCATACTTGAACTGAGGTCGTAGTAGTTACATTATTATTATTATTATTATTATTATTATTATTATTATTATTATTATTCAAATTTAGTTGGATTTTTCTTGTTATAGTAGTATTTTTATATTTTATCTAAACTAAATTTACTTAAAATCTTTTTTATTTGTATTATCTGAATTCAGATAAATGATTGTCTATATAAATATATTTAATCAATAAGGAGTATATATTTTTTAAATAGATTTAACATATAATATTTAACATGTGCTTTTTCTATTTATAATATATTTAACCAATAACCATGGACGAACGTAAGATTTTTATTAAGAGAGTCGAACTTATAAAATTTTAAGTAGGGAGAAGTTATAAAATTTTAGAAGGGGCGAAAACATATTTTCAATAGAAAATACAAAAAAATATCTAAAATATTTATGAATTTAAAATTTTTAGGGGACGACCGCCCCCACCCATCCCCTCTAGGTCCATCCCTATCAATAATATTATACAAGTGAATGATTTAGAAATGGTCTTGTAAATAAGTCAACTATGTATAAGGTGGAAGATTCATTAGGGTATTCTTGTTTTTGTGTGGATACTCTAGATGTTGTATTAGTTGTAGCATACTTCTGTTATCTTTGGATAATAAAGCTCACAATTTATCAAAAATATATGAATGATTTACTTAAAAATAAAACATATGCTTATTTGAAATTTATTGAGTGATCGCGGTGATTAAAAAGAGAGTTATTCTCTTTTGAGATCCTAGATTCGAATAGTGTTTATAAGGTGTATATATATTAAACATATGTTTGATCAAGCAATCTACGGGTCCGATGAGTTCCCCATGTATGCTTACAAGATCAAGCACTGCACTAGGATGCATAGCCACAACGGGACAGAGTATCTCTACACCCACCACAATGAGAAGGCTCAACGTCGTGACCCTCCCAAGTACCCCTACACGCACTTTGTCTTCCTCGGACGATACCTAAAAGGCAACAACTACGAGTTTGCTCACGATGTCTTCGAGTACCGGCTACACCCCGCCAAGTACCTCATCCTTACATGCAATGTAAGTAGGTTTTGCGCCCGTAAGATTTGTTTCTTTGCCCACAAATCTGACCAACTAAGGTCGTCTGAGCCCAAATTCAACTGCCCTAATCTAGCAACCAATGGAAGAAAGACTCTAAAGGACCTGAGTTCGAGTCACTTCTTTTGCATTGTCTTGTCATTATGTTAAGAAAATTCTAAACAAATATCACTTTGTAATCAATCCGGACTATTAAAAATACTAGCAAAGGTCTAAAATACTATTATAGTAAAAAAATTGATACATGGTCCCTCCCACTCAAAAAATGATCATGTCCCTGATAATAGATTCTCTATCAAGAGACGAAGATTCCATGCCAATGCATACATTATGTCGAACCATTGCCACCACAATTGGAAGGGGTTCGCGCAATGTACGGGTCCAATAAATTCCTTATATATGCTTACAAGATCAAGCGTTGCACTGGGATGCACAGTCATGACAGGACTGAGTGTCTCTAAGCCAACCACAACAAGAAGGCTCAACGTTGTGACCCTTGCAAGTACACATACACCCACTTTTTCTACCTTGGGCAGTTGGGCGATGCCTGAAAGGTGACAATTGTGAGTTTGCTTACGACGTCTTCGAGTACTGGCTGTACCTCGCCAAGTACCTTACCCTTCCATGCAATGCAAGTAGGTCCTACACCTGCAGGGTTTGTTTCTTTACCCACACATCTGATCAGCTGAGGTCATCTAAGCCCAAATTTAACCGCCCTAATCTAGCAACCAATGGAACCCATGTTCAGTCATATGCTTCTGCATGTGTCAATAGATTAAAAATTATGAACAGATACTACATTGTAATACTAAGACTATTAAAAAACTAACAAAAACCTAAAATACTATTCTACTTGGAGCATTTCTTGCTTGGAGCGGTCTTTCTAAGAATCATCCTCTTCATTTTGGTGACGAATAGTTGCCTATTTCTGTCATATGAATATAGTCACACATGACACACATCCCTACTTTACATAAGTTCCCATAAGAAAACATTAACATTCAGTTCAACAAATAATTCAACAGAATACGGTTGCTTACCATTTTGTGCAATGACAGTTAGTGACGGAACTAAACATTATTTTCTAGGGAGCCATTTAAATTTTTTTGAGCAAACCAAGAATATTAATAACTCCTATCATATTTTCTTGAGAAAACAGATAATAGAAGAACATATTTGATATGGACATGCACTCAAGTCAAATTTCATGTCATTTATTAACTGGATATTCCTACATTCACTTACGTGATTCGGGATCACGTTCTATAAACGAAATATTAAAGTTTTCAACCTCAACAACCGGAGACATGAGAGGCATGTGTTTGCACGCGTACACGTGCGTGCGTGTATGTGTAAATTTTTTTAAAGATTAAAATTCATGAACCCACATAATATATATATATATATATATAATAAAAATCATAAATATTTATTGAATTAAAAAATATTTTTTTAAAAATTATCTTCAACTGAGATGAAACACTTTATAATTTTATTAAAATCATAAATTCAAAGAAGATGAACAATCAAAGTGGAAAAATATATATAATTTTTTGTATTTTAAAATAAAAATAGCAAAAAAATATTAATTGTTTTTAATAAATAATATTGATTTCCAAATTCTAAAGTAATATACATATCTTTTTAAGGCAACCAAATTTTTTATTAAATAGAGGTATTACATTTCTAATATAAATATCAAGATTCGAACCTATATAAGGTGAGATGATATGACATTCACAACTTAATCGATTAATAGATTTATGAAACAATCAAATTTAATAATTCATTGTACAAGTCTCTTGAGAGAATCAAATTTAATATTTTAATATATATATACATATATATTAATATTTTCTTGGGGGCACAGCCCCACTAGTCTTAAGGTTGTTCCACCCCTGTCGTTCTCGTTCATCAATTGTCAACTCACAGTACCTTTTCAAATAATAATGAGATGTAAGTATACGTCGAGTATAAAAGCAACGAAAAATATTGATTATAAATTTTTTAGTCATTGTCTGTATCGTATATCTAAATTCAGAATGTAGTTGTATTATTGTCAAATAAGTCGAACCATTATGAACATCATGTTGGTTTAGTAGGTTGAGGTACTAAATCATTTAAGCAATGTTAAGGGTTTGAATCTTGGTGTTTGTTAATGAAACAATTGGATTAGAAAGGTTGACAATACCTCTACAACATCCAATCCGGATTAATCGATTAATAAATCAAATATTGATGGTTATAAAAATATAACAATGTGATTGAAAAAAAAAAGATTTCGTTAGAAAAAAATATAATATATATATAGTAAAATTTTATCAATAATGATTTTTGATGGAATGGTAGAGAATTCATACATAAATCCTATTAAATGTGAGTTTGATCCTTAAAAGTGTGTTTTTTTTGTTTTTTAATTAAATATAATATAAAGTGTAAAAATATAAAAAAAAAATTATTATAATAATATTAATTATAATTGAATAATAATAATAATAATAGAAACAAGATCACAAAGATTATCCACCAAAGCATGTTACATTTTGTAACCCTACACAAAGATTATTACAGCCACTAAAGCCCAAGTGGTCTTGGTCTGTTAACGCTCTTAATTTGTTGGGTTCAACTTTTAACAAATCCTACTCTCCAAATTCTGGTTTTGTTTCCATTCAAAAACCCAAAAGCAAAAGCAAAAGAAATGTAAAAAAAAAAAAAAGGATAAAAACTACATGTTTAGTACCCTGAACTATTATTTTTTATTTTAAAATCATGCATAATGTTATGATTTAGTTTTATTTTGGTCACTCGTTGTTGAAAAATTAACGATGATGTTGATGTGTCACTATAAGGTAATGACACATCATTATTGAGTTTTTTTAAAATACCACGTCAGTATTTCTATTGATTTTTTAAAGACGGATGACAAAAATGAAATCAAAATGTAACGTTAGATATGATTTTGAAAAAAAATAATATTTGAATGATCAAAACAAAAATAAAAGTAATAATTAAGATATTAAATATGTAATTTACCTAAAAGATAGCATTCAAAACTTTAAAAACTTGTTCTCCTCTCTTATGAGAGTAACCATTGTACGATGGTGATTAATATGTCTAAATATATTAGAAATAGGTGTCCAAAGTATGTGCAAAGTTAACTTTAGATGTCTAAAGTTTTTCGTTAAAAATAAGTACTTAACGTTTTCATCGTTACACTTTTAAGTCCCTAACGTTTCCGACATTATATTTTTAGGTACCTGGACTGTAAATCGTTAAATTCAGTCGTTAAGTGACACATGTCAATTTTATAAAATTTTAATTTTTTAAAATCACTTTAAAATTTACTTTTAAAAATCCCATTTCCCCCTAAAATTATTAAAATAACCCCAAACTTCATTAAAAAAAAACTAATTTCAATCCCTCTGCCATCATCTACACCGTTAACTGGTGAAATTCCAATGGCGTGAGACCAACCGAACACCCAACTGTCGAAACCCTTGCTCCAACCTCTAATTGCAGCGACCAATCAACAATTGCAACATGAAGAACCCCTTTAGCCAATCGAGCAATCTAGTTTTACACGATCATTGGGCGTTTGATCGGTCGTGAAAATAAGGGGTTTCGATCGTTGGGTGGTTGGCCAGTCGAACAATGTTGGGTATTCAACCGAATGACAGTGTGCTGGCGGTCGACGTGCTAAGGGATTGAAATGATGTTTTTTCAGGATTTTGGAGTTTTCTTTTTATAATTTCAAAAATATTTGGGTTTTTTAAAAAATAAAATTTAATTTTTAGGTTTTTTAAATAAAATTTTATATGTCCGACACATATCATTTAACGGTCTTTACAGTCCATACACTTAAAAATATAACACTGAAAATGTTAAATACTTAAAATTGTAACGGACAAAACTTTAGAGACGTAAAGTTAAATTTTGAAAAACTTTGGGCTCTTATTTTTACATTAATCAGAAAGAATAAAAAAAAACTTTCACTTTTCAAAGGCTTTGGGTCAAATAGTCAACCATTCAAACCACGTGGATTTGAATTCAAGCTCCAAAGTCCGTCAAAAACAGATAAGATAATTTTGCAAAATACACCGTCTCATTTTGCAAACCATCACTTATTAATCATTTACTTTATATTTCCATTTCTCAGATATTAGTTATGATAACGTGAACTTAAAAGGTTGGGACTTTAAATCTTTTGCGCTAAGGGCAGTGATTTCTCCGACCATTTTCCTATTTTTGACAATTTTCTTAAAAAATATAAACAATATATTTATGCATAATTAAAAAATAAATAATATATTACACATAAATATAAAAGATATTTTAAGCGAAAACAAAATAGCACGTGGTAAAGTTTCAACAGTTGGGGGTAAAGTCGAAAGCACGTGCAGCCACTAACCAGGCTTTTCAACTTTTACTACGTCTTCATTTGACGTCACCCGAAGAAAAATTTAAAATTTTAAAACTCAATCTTTAGTAACAAATTTGTTCATTAATCCTATGCCAAATTCAAACTTACTAAACCTATGCCAAAGTTTTCATCCATCGGAAAGTTCTAAGGTGCGACGATCTTAATATGCGGCTAAAAAAATGTATTACTAATTTTGTTATTATTTAAATAATAAAACCGATAAAAAATAATTGAAAATATTATTATTTCTATCGATTTTAATTATCGATATAGGTAAACGCAGTAGAAAAAACCTGGTAAAAATAATATTTTAAATAGTACTTTCCCGAAAACATTATTTTTTTTACTGTTTTTTTCTATCACGTTTATTTATATCAATAATTAATAATAATAATAAAACTAATAGAAATAATAAGGTTAGAATGTAATGCGTTTTATTGGTTGTTTAATTATAGGGTTTGGGTGGCGGACGAAGCACCCTGGAAACTCTATATAAAGACACGAGTGATTGTTCCTGGAAGCTGAACCATTGTCTTCTTCCCTTTAAAATTTAAATATTAACTCACCACACTCTCTTTTCCACTCAAATCCATCACCTTTCTTTTTCGTTTCCATAATTTTCTCACTTCAAATTCTGTATATCTGAATTTACAAATTTTTTTATAATATCAAATGGGATTTTCTGAAGAAACTTCAGCTCAGTTGGAATTCATAAGGCAGCATCTCCTTGCTGATTTTGCTTCCATGGAAACCTTCATGGTTTCCGACCCATCGCTTGTTTATACCCCAAACCCCCTAAAGCAATCGACGCTTAGCCGCCGTCGTCCTTGTCTTAGCGTTACGATCCCTCCGGCATATGTTTACACGGCTTCAGCTCCGGTTGCAGTTGCGGCCGAACCGTGCGAGGAAAGGCGTTACAGGGGCGTTAGAAGACGGTCGTGGGGCAAGTTCGCGGCTGAAATCAGAGACCCTAACAAGAAAGGCGCCCGGGTTTGGCTCGGAACCTTCGACACCGCCATTGAAGCTGCAAAAGCGTACGACGGAGCTGCGTTTAAGCTACGTGGGAGCAAAGCCATATTGAACTTCCCTCTTGAAGCTGGGAAATCAAATTCATCCTTATCCGAGGATAATTCGTTTTCGAGGAAAAGGAAAAGAAGTGAAGAGGAAGAAGAAAAGAGGGTGAAGTTGGAGTGTAAAGTAGTGTAAAGGGAGGAGTTGAAGGCGGAGGCCCCCAAGGAGGCGGTGCCGGTAACGGTGGCGGAAAGTGTAACGTCGTCGAATTGGACGGGGTTTGGAGATAGCGAAGAATGAAATATTTGGTGGGCCATTATTATCTCCGTTATCTCTACATCCATGGTTTGAGTATTCTACGCTTGAGGTTATATATACTCATAAGGCTTTGTTTCGTGTAAATATAGGGAGAGCACCCAATTTTTTTTTATATATATGTTTCATTATAGTTTCTTTTTAAGATTATAATATGAATTGTAATTATATCAAATATTTTTATAGGATATTCTCAAATTATTGCACCAAAAATAATCTTATTTTAAATTGGTTCCTATATTTTAAAATATTTTATATCAATATTTAATTTATGACACATTTTAAAACATTCTATATCAAACCTCAAATAATGAATATCATTTTATCTTGATCTTAAATTTTAGAAGATCATAAGTTCAATTCTCATAATCTTTAAAAATTAATAGAGTTAACGAGATATTAATAAAAAAATCAAAACTAAATGATATTAATAGTTTGGTGGATAATATAAAATGTTTTAAACTTTAAGAATCAATTTAGAATGTAACCCCTCAGACCGATGCGGATAACCCGATCAGATCTGGAGTGTCACATTAGGGCCACCGGAAAGACCACTGTAAAAATAGCAGAAAATTTAAAATTTTTCTTAAAAATTGTAAACTCATAAAATCATTTATGAGTACAATATAAAAGATATCAATATACAAAATAAAACAGATTTTTAGACTCGTATATAAAACAAAATACAATTACATGCCCCCTAATCACATGCACCGTACTCTGCAAACAGCACCGGAAGAATTCCCTTACTGAAGTCGATAGCTGCACTGGTACAATTCTTTTAGCCTGAAAAGATGAGTAACAGAATGAGCTTTGGAAAGCTCAGTAATACAGAACTACCAGATGATGCATATGAACGTGCAAATACAGATAAATATATATTTCCTTATTATTTCCGAACATTTACAGATTTTTATGCTGAGCAAATATCCTACTGATATTTCAAGTGGTAACGGAAAATGAGCTTTCAGTTCAGAAAAATATTTCGGATGACTAAGTTCAAGAGATCAGAATAGGTTATCTAGTGTGTTCCCAAAAACCATGTAACTTTTCAGATCTTTTTTAAAAACATATATACATATATACCCCCATCCCAACACAACATAATGTGTAGGTTCCTCAGAACCATACACCCAACCCACACAACTTGTAAGGCCCTGAGCACAAAGCCGAGGAACCTGCGGAAATACTTATTTCAACAATACCCCCCAATTAAAACATTTTTCCGTCATTAAACGGAGATATCAGAAATCAAAACAGAATTCAGAAGAGATATCATAACAGAATCCAGATAAGAAATCAGAACAGAATTCAGGTCATGTATCAGAACAGAATTCAAGTCAGAAATCAGATAAAATATTTATATGATTAGGGAACACACCAGAGTTTACAAATATTATTCAGAGATACTGGATAATCTTATCAGGTAAAGAGACACTAATCTTCAGTTTACCGATAGAATGTCAGAAGTTAGAATCATTATTTAAAAAGTTCATTAACTGACAGAATCATCAGTTATTCAGGATATGATTTATCGGGATCATCTTATTCGGACACTTTTCTGAAGCTCTACGAAATCTGAAGGTCTTCAGAATCTTTACAATCTATGACGATTAATCCGATTATCGAACAACTCCAGATGAATAGCTCCCAGAACCAATACTTATCAACTTGTCAATTCATTAACCTTCCAGGGTATTTACTCTTTAATACCAAATATTCTTATCCACAAATCATCTTCTGAGTCATCACTGAATAGATCTTAAGGAGACAAACAAATATTCTAATGGTCTTTATTTCATTTCCATGTTTCAACTATACTAGGAAATGCTGACGTACTTGATTTGTGGTTCATAATCCATAGGGATGATACATCATATAAGTTCATCTGATTACTTCATTTAGCAGTCAAGTCCTTTACAGTTACTTCAGGGTTTTTCATAGTAATTCATACTTCTGAATTTTAGATACATATTGCACTTTCGTTCAATTCAATTTGGTAGTCGCAGTTGATTTGTCTAATGAATATCCACTTCTTAATATTGAATGCAATCTAGAGTTTAGCTGAGCTGAATACTTCCAAAATTATCATCAAGCCACACTTGAGAAGACGAACACACATTCAAGTATTATCTATATCGTTCAGGTACTGACATATCTTTACGATTGATCAACTCACTTAAGTTGTGTTCCATAACTTGTAAAGGTAGTCCAACACCTATGCTTATTTGGATTACTTAATTAATCTAGGACATTTACTTATTCTAGGTCATAAGGGTATTTTGGTCATTTTGATGCTCAGTCTTATTCCATTCATTTCAGAGCTCGAGGATATCCAATTATTCCTGAGCTTGGTGATATTCTTGGGTTATTTCCATTACAGGGGTATTTTGGTCATTTTACAGATCTACAGTATTTCAATCTTTTCCCTCCATCTGGTCTTATTATTTAATTCCAATTTATCATCTATTCCAGTCCCTTCGAACAATTCTGATAAAAGAGCACTCTCCGATAAATTGTTCTTCAGGTATTTACTCATAACTTGGATATTTTCGGGTCAAGTGCCTTCTCAGATTTTACAAACGAAATATTATAAATTTTTTTGTACAAAGACAGGATCTTAACAACTAAATCTGTAATTTATCGAGTTAGGTACAAATCCTCAAAATATTTTCTTATTCAGGGTCAACTCAGACTATTTTTACCTCTCAAGGCATTTTCATAATTTCTTAACCAGATAACTTCGGTATTAACTCTTAATGAACACTCTTATAATTTAGAGATCATATGGTTAATTGTTTCCTCGATCATTCTCTGATCTTGAAATGATTCCTTAACAGACTTCTAGTATCTTGTATAAACCCTCTTGGGGTTAAAAATCGGTTATCCAGAATTTTCAAGTAAAACTAATATTTTTTATGCACATCAATAGTTTTATCAGATCAATATGTCTCTTAAGATTTATTAATCCACTTTCAGGGATAATTCTTGTCATTTTCCAACATAAGGGTAATTTCATAATTTTACCTAATCGAAATATTCTCATAATTTATCATCTAAGTACCTTTAATGAGATAAATTATAATCTACATATACATGGTTGATTCCTTTATCACTTAATTCCAGAACTTGTAATTTAATTCTAAGTGTCCTCCAATTTCTTATAATAGTCATTTGAGCCATATTCAGTTACCTACTTCCTACTGTATTCGTATCGAGTGTAGAACTTCATTACTTACACATATGAGACCAAACATTTCCATTCATGCATTTACCAAAACCAACATGTTCTATAAAGCATAAAGAGGTAGTAATGTATTATCTCGATTTCTGTGCCATATTACTCGACCATTTAAATTAAATTTGAACGCCCTCGATTTTGAAATCAACTTCCAATAATTCCTCAGATACATATTAACAGAAATTTTATCAAAAACGGAGCTTAATTCCGAAAAACGGATCGAATCGGGTGATTAATCAATGAAAAACAACTTACCGGGTTTGAATTTGGTGAAACGGACCTCAAAATCGAAACATCAACAAAACCCAAAATATTAGTCTTAAATTCCAGCTCACCAATTTGATTTCTAGCTTCCAATCTTTTTCTAACGAACACGTATAATTTATCGTACAAATACGACTTCTAATAATTTTCCTTGCCATAAAAAATAACTTATTAGAATCTAATTAATAATTTGGAAACCCAATTTGCATAACTAAAAACTTGAAGAGCTAGTAATATTTAATTACAAACATCATGGACTAAATTGATCTTGTAAAAACTATTATGTCATAACTATAACCACTTGGAAAATAAGAGACAAGGTAAAGATCTCACCAAACTTGGATGATATACCTTGTGGTTTACCCCTTTTTGCATGTTATCTATAATTTCCGGCAACAACGTGAATTCTTTAATTGCTCTCTTTTCACTTTCCCAAAGCCATATGCACTATGCCATTCCTTCATTTTCACGCAACTTTCACAAATTCTCTTTTTTTTATTCTTCTACGCTCTTCATATTTCAAGCAATGATATTGATCAAAAGCTGATATGGTTCAACGATATGGCTCAATACGTTTAGCTTGATATTCTTTAGGTTTCGTCGATCTACGGAGTTGAAGATCCACAGGGGAGTCTTGCTGAGGATGTTGAGTTGGGCGGAGCTTCAATCCTCCACATGAAATCCAAAGCTTCTTGTACGGCTTGGTTAGTTCCTCTCGATATTTCACCACATGTCACAATTAGTGTCCATCAATTGATTCAGCTCCGGGTCTTTCGAAGTGTCTCATGATATCACTAAAGATCGTTGCCTCGCTTCAAACTTCTATCTAGCAGCAGCTAATCAAGGCACTACTTCAGGCGAAGCTCTACACTTTTGAAAATCCATGTAAGCTTCCAAAAGGCTAGAGTACTGAGGATGAGCAATGATTCTGGCTTTGGTAGCTTCCGTCTTATTCGAGGTTTTGCTCTCTTCTTAATGGTGATGAACCGCTTGGTGCCCTCTAAACAAAAGGTTAGTGAAATTATTTTAACCACGTTGAGAGGTGATTATTAGATAAAATGAGTTGTCTTTGGCTGTTGATGAACAAATAGAGATATGTTTATCACAAATTTTCACTCTGAGTTCGTAGGCTCAGAGAATGCTTTTATTATAATGGATTATTACACACTCTCCATCTCTTTCATAATTGAGGAGTGGTTGGCTTGGTGCCTACATATAATAATGGCATTAGCAGGTGATCATATTAATTGCTATGGCCAATATACATATGATCTTAATAATTATAATAATTGGGGTGTTACAAGAAGACCGAATGCAACAGCCCCACCACCATTGTTTCGCTACTGTGGAGATAAAGAAACGTTGGATATAGTCTTCTCTAATTGGTCCTTTTGGGGATGATAAAGCTTTCATTTTTATTAATTTACAACCGTGCCACCATTGTTTATCTCTTTGAAACTTTTGTTGGCTTCTGCTTTCATGGTATAATACA